CCCCCCCTCCGGGCGGGAGGACGCGCCGCTCTGCCCTCTGGTCCGCCTTCTCGAGCGGGAGGGGGCTTTTTTTGGGGGGGGGGCGACACCGGTGGCAAGCGAGACCCTGCGGACGCCCCCCCTCCCCTCCCGCTCGCTCCTCTCGGGCTGCCGGGTGTCTCTGTCTCTCTCTCTCTCCAGAGGCTCGGGTTTGCTCCTGAGGAACCTGAAAGGGGCGTTTTGCTGGGTTTTTTGTTTTTTTGCTTTTTTGAAAGGAGGGCTCAGCCTTTTTTTTGTTTTTGTTTTTTTGCTGCCGTGAAGGAAGCCCCGCAAAGTCCACAAGTGCTCCTCGGGTGGGGTCGCCCCCCCTTTTTTTAAAAAGGACGGTAGCTGCAAAACAGTCTCTCTCTTCCTGCTGCGCCTAGGAGCGGCTCCATCCTTGGAAAAAGTCGGAGCGGGGTGTGTCTGTGTGTGTGTGTGTCTAGGGAGGAGGCCCGCACCTCCCCTTTCTTTGTTGAGGGAAAGGGGGGGGATTTCTGCCTTGGGGGTGATGGGCCGCCGGATCCTCAGTGCGCAGAGCCCCACCCTCGGCTGCTTTGTGAGAGGAAATATAGCCTCTCTTCCCCCCCTCCACACACACACATATACACGTGTTGGTAAGGCCCACCCTCGGCTGCTTTGTGAGAGGGAATATAGCCTCTCTTCCCCCCCCTCCACACGCACACACACATACACGTGTTGGTAAGGGAGTCCGTTGTTTAACGCTGAGAGGTTGCGCCCTGGGAGCGAAGGGCAAACTGAACTCTCAAGTCGGTCTCGCAAGTGGATCTCTCAAGTGGTCCTTAGTTTTAAGAGAAATCACCGACCCCTTTTTACGGTTCCTGTGGGCTCATATATAGTTGCCAGTGGACTAGCGGGGTTGCATCTTGTCGCCCAACTTGCACACAACAAGACCCTTAATATTCAAAATGGCAGCAAATACTGTAATACTGCTCCCCTTTCACAAATGAAAAGTTAGTACGAGCAGGTTTCTCCCCAACAGAAATAGCCCCCCACCGTCTTTGGATTTTCTTGTGTCTCTGAACAAGAGAGGCAAGGCAGCTGGGCTAGAGAAAAAAAAAATCTCCACGGCAGATAGAATTTAACTACAAAGTGGGTGGGATTCAGGTGGGTTGGCAGCTCTTAGAGGGATACTGAAGGGCACTTGTCAGTTATTCCAGGGGGGGAAATGTTTCTCTGGGGATGAAGTGGTTGGAGGAAGTCTTTGGGGAGGCCTGGGTGGAGACATAGAAAAATCTGCAAATTGAAAGAACTTTGCTACATGAATGCATGAAGGAATAGTGTGAGTTCTTAAAGAAAAACAGGTGGGTGGGTGGGTGTGAACCAGAAGCTGTTCTTGAATGAAAATAGGGGGGGGGGCTGGTATTCTAAGCACATTTTGTGAGTTTCTGAAATAACAAGTAACTGCTGAACTAAGTGCCAACCTAAACTGCAAGATTAAATGCAAAGGCACAGTCATTGCTGATGCAAATAAAGAACCTTGATTCTTGAAATTGCATGGCCAGTTACCAGATTTATCAATGACAAGGGACAAAAGCCATGGAAATAACAGCAGAGAAGAATTTGGGGCAACTCAACACTAAATTTCCAGGACCAATTGAAATG